CCCCCCCCCCCCCCGGCCAGAAGCTAGCACACCCCCCTCCATGGCAGCTAACCCGGCCTGGGGACACACACACACCCCCGCGGAAGCTAACCCTGCCCCCCTCCATGGCAGCTAACCCCTCCCGAGGAGCCCGCCCCAGCTCTCCTCTGCTGAGCACACCGGCGCTGCTCTAATTCTCCTCCCCTCCCAGGCTTACGGCGCCGATTGAAGGAGACTTAGAGTGGGGGCTGTGTGCTAGGCAGAGGAGGAAGAGTGGAGGTGATCTGGGGCGGAGAGCGGTTCCCCTGTGCGCCCCCCCTGTTACTGCGGGCGGCCCTCCCCGCACCCCCCTCCTTCCCCCCGCCCCAGCTCACCTCCACTCCACCTCCTCGCCTGAGCGGGCTTTTAGGCGCCCTCAACCACTAGGCGCTCTAGGCGGCCGCCTAGTTTGCCTAAGTGGTTGCACCAGCCCTGACCTTAGTAGATGAAGATCCCCAATAGGAATAAACACAAAAAACAGAAATTTTGGTGCCTCAAATTTTAGGTGTTCCAACTTGAGACACCTTAAAGGGGCCTGATTTTCAGAGGGTGAATGTTCAGCCCTGTCTGCAAAACAAGCTCTTTTTAAGGTGTCTTAAGCTGAACACCCGAATTCATTACCCAGTTTTGAAAATCTTAACCTGAGATTCCAGATGTCAAAATTGGGTGCCCAATTTCTTATTCGGGTACTGAAAGTGGCGCCTACTCTACGTGTCTAAAGCAGGTGATTGGGTAACTGATGGCTGGTTGCAGCTCCTGAATGTAGAATTGGGCACCCTATTTTAAGCATCCTTACTTGAAAATTGGGCTGTATGTGAGATACTTAATTTATGAAAGACTAAGGCAGGAAGGGGATAGCTGTATATGCTAATGACATCCTCAATATTGCCAAACCTCAACATTCAAGCTCCAAAAAATCATGAGATTGGTTTAAGATTACAGTATTATTAAAAATAATAAATGTTGGGATTCTATTTATTTGCTTTCTGGTTTTTGAGCCTTTTGGGTTCATATTTTCAAGCTTTTTTCTGCAACCATGAGAGGTAAACACTTTTTTAAAAAAAGAACAGAAGTTGGGAATCTCGCATAATCCCATGATTTCATGAGCTGATGCTTTAAGAAAAACACATTATATCAAGAGACCGGCAGTATAGTTGTGAGAACTGGCAACACTGAGTCTTCAAGCTACTGAAATGTTGGTATTGGCTTCAATGGATCTTGGTGAGTGCTCAGCACTTCTGAAATCAGGTCATTTACATTTGGATGTCTAAATATGGGTTTAGAGCCTAACTTTAGGACACAAGTTTGAAAATGTTGGCCTTGAACATTTTACTTGATATATGTGGTATTCCTGAAGATTTATTCTCATACACAGACATTCTTAGAGCCCATTGCATAAGTTCTGTTTTAATAACTTATGCGTTATGCAATATACGTTTCTCTTTCTAATTAGATTGTCTGGAAATTAACCTGGATTTACTCTTTATATCTTACTTCTTTTCTTCTTTTCCTCTAAAAACTTAGCAAAATATTTCAATACCAAACAAACAAACAAAATATTGAAACCATTTTGTGGAAGTCTTAATGATACGATGCTGGGAGTAACATTTGTGATAAGATGCGTATTTTAGCTCTCTTATTTGGTATATTCATGAGTAGTAATGTTCCAAGTTTATCATTTGCCCTGGACAACAATTTCCTCAACACTAGCCCTGAGATTTGCTCTGCGCTCTGCCCCACTAATCAGAAGAGCTAGATTTTACAGAGGCATGTCATATATTATAAAAAACAAACTTTCTTGGCCTGTTTACAGGTCATCATTATATCATTAAAACCAAAAGAATTTTAAAAATTTGCGTTATTTGTCTGTCTATTTTTGTTTACTTCTTCTATTTCTTTTTGCTTAGGCCATAAAAATAGAATAACTAATTTCACTCTTGCAGCCAGTTTAATTTTCCCTACTTATGCTTCATTGTTTGGATTACAGTCTAAGGCCTCAGTTGAGCAATGTGCTTAAACTCTTGAAAAAGTCCATCCCTGTTCAGGAAAGCACATAAGCAAATGCTTATTAACTTCAAACCTGAGCTTTGTCTTCTATCTTTTGGATGCTGGTCATATATGCTTTCCTAAATAGGCATGATTTTCTGAATCAGAACCTGCAAGTTGATTTGTTTAAAAATAAATACTTCCCTCGATTGTGAGCTGCCTGGGACAGTGACTCTCTCTTTCATCCTCACTCATTTGTACAGCACCAAGCACAGTGGATCCCTGTTTGGATCCTCTGCAGAATATCACAATATAACAATCATAAAAATTCCTTTTCCATTAAAATATTCCTTTTTAAAATTCATGGAAACCTTTCTACTTATCTTAGATTTTATACATTTACAAAGCCTATATTTGGGGGCAAGTGTGACCTGCCAGTGTCCTCTTAATTCAGATTGTATGCATCAGGGATAGGTACCCACTTGAAATAAAGAATATCTCTCTTATAGTGACTGATACGCAAACATGTCAATTTGCATTTTGAAAAACACCATTACTTGATTCTCTACTATAAAGTGACCACTATGCCCATGAGATCATACTTCCATGATCAACCAACATCAGACATAATTGTAGGAAAAATGCATTAAAGTCTTTTTCTAATGTGGCAAAAATCCTAGGGGACTGCACCTGGGTTATTGTCCCTGTCCATCAGCAAGGAGAGGAGAAAATTTACCAACTTCCTGGGAAGGAAGAGAGAAGCCCTGACAAACCCCAAAGGCTGTGGAAAGCTGCCAGTCATAGAGGGAGGAGATGACAGCTGGAGTTCATTAAGGGAAGTTGTGAAAGCAGAAGTGTGGCCATGGATGTTGCACCCAGGGAAAAACTCATTTCCAGTCTGGACTTCGTCTGAAGAGGAGCTGCTGTTTCCAGGGTCCAGCTATGGCAAAGCCTTTATCCTCATGAATGGGAGTAACCTGGTAGCTACAGTCTCTTTTAAAGAAAACATTAAGAAACCCCAGTAAGACTCAAGACTTATCTACACATGAAAGTTAACCTGGAATAAGATAGGATGTGAATTTAAAGTGGATTATCCCTTCCTGATTAACTCTGTGTGTGGACACTCTTATTCCAGAGAAGGAGTACTTTATTCCAAATTAGCTTAATCCATTTACAAAAGAATTAATAGAAAAAATGCATGCTAAGTGCAGATATCCATGAGCTTTATAAATATCTGAATGACAGCTGCTCTACCTAAAACTGAGGGCTTGTCTACATGGGGAAATTCACCAGCATATATTCCAGAATAAGAGCATTGGCATGGGGAGTTATATCAGTATTACAATAGCAATATAATTATATGGGGATAATTATGCCAGTAAATGTCCCTATGTAGACAAGCCCTGAGAGATGTTTTTCTTATTAAATACTTTACACTTGTGTGTGATACACACAGAATAATTCTTGATTTTGGTACATTATGATTCATATTATTATAATTAAGACAATCTTATTTTATCCTAAAGCACTTCACAAATTGTATGCACACAGCTTCATAGATATGGAGTCATCTCGGGGGTGGAGAATGACAACCAATTCACGCACTCCATACTGAACAACAGTGTGGGGTGAAATATTTTGGCTAAGGATGCCAGGGTACACACTTAAAAGAAAAAAATTCAAAAGCGAATATGGATATTGGGTTCCCCCAATTTTGAATGCCCAAACTGAGACACCTTTTGTTGAGGTGCTGAGCACTGACTTCATTTGGAGTCGGATCCAAGTCGTGTCAAATTGGATACCCAAAATCCATGGTCACTTCTGAAAATTTAGTCCGAAGTAATCCCCTACAGCACATTAGTAACATGAATCTTTATAGATTTCTCAATACAAAAGGTTCACCTTCTTCAGAAGAAACTTTAGAAGTCCTTTTATTAAGATACCAGCACTGGCTACACATAAGAAATGTACCGTGTAACAAAAGAAAAAGTATAGAACTGCAGGAGACTTTGACTTACTAAAAAAAAAAAAAGTCTTTGCATCTTGAATTTATTTCATCAGCATCTGATAGAACTTGACAATGATATAAGAAAGTGAGATATTAACATTGTTGACCCTGGACTCTCACACAGTATTTATTGCATAGTTGATTGTTGCCAAAAGAAGCACAGAAATCTGTTTTCAGAGAGTTGTCATGTGGGTCCAAAAGCTATGAATGCAAGTTTCTTGTTTCTCAACTTCACTAAAGAACTCATCTGTCTGGAGCCACTTTCTTTAGTGATGATACAAATCATTATTTCAGGTTTATTTCATATTATCAAAAATGTATCCTGAGAATCCAGACATTTTGCAATATAGCCGTCTTTAATGAGCTATGCTACCCTGAATCTTGCAGATAAAAAGAAATAGACAGTGCTTTATTTCATATATTTTAGTTACACGTGTAAAATATAATGGTTTATTGTATTTTATATTCATTTGCATCTTATCCCTTATCTTAATTCCATAGTTCTCTGCAAGCAAGTTGTCTTAACCTGTTTAGGAATTAACCTATCTTTTCTGCCTTTCTATTTAATTGCTGACCAACTACCTAGGAAAAACAAAAGGCTTTTGATCTCCATTTAAAACTGCAGGTTTTATCCTCAGTACTACAGCAGGTGAGAGTGCTTTATTTTGTCCATGTTTTCTTATTCAGTAAAAGGGATCTAAAAATGATATTGAGGGTTTCCATATTTCCAGAGCAAATTTGTTCTCTTTACAAGTCAAGATAATGTTTCTGACTATCAGCTTTGAAAAAATATATATCTGAAAAATCAAGCTTGTTTGTCTGGCTCATGCCTCATCACTGGTAGGAAAGAAAAGATTATGCAATCAGAACTTAGCAGACAATTTGTTGATGCTCCATGAAACAGAAGAGTCGTCATCTTGCTCTTTCTTAGCTGTATCAGGAGGAAGAACTTGTTTTATTAGTAAAGTAAGAAGAAGCAGAGGGCAGATATGTACAGTAGAACCTCAGAAGTACAAACATCTCGGGAATGGAGGTTGTTCGTAACTCTGAAATGCTTGAAACTCTGAACAAAACGTTATTGTTCCTTCAAAAATTTACAACTGAACATTTACTTAATACAGCTTTGAAACTTTACTATGCAGAAGAAAAGTGCTGTTTTAATCATCTTAATTTAAATGAAACAAGTACAGAAACAGTTTCCTTACTTTATCAAATCTTTTTTTAAAACTTTCCCTTTATTTTTTTAGTTGTTTATGCCAGATTGCATACTTCTGGTCCCAAATGAGGTGTGTGATTGACCAGTCAGTTCGTAACTCTGGTGTTTGTAATTCTGAAGTTCTACTGTAGAGTAAAAAAGTTGCTACTGTCATAAAGTTGTTTATTAGTGGATTTTACCATAATGAAAATATTTTTTTAAAAATCAGAAAAAATAAATAAAAAAAAAGATGAAGATTTAGATGAGGTGAATTACAGTAGTTTCTGACTACAACCACACTTAAAGGTCTCGCTCTCTCTATCTTAATTTTTTACAATCAAGACACTATGTAGGGAGCGTAATAATATACCTTCCCCACTTTTTGCTACTAATGCCTTACCTTTATTGTTCCCTCCAGCGTGTGGGGTTGTTTCATGATCAGTGCTAGTTGAATCTTGGCATATCTGAATCAGATTGGCAAATAGAAAAATTGTACTAACTTTACGGTGTTGTGTGGTCTTTGTGATATACTTAATAAAAGTTTGAGTAGCAGCCGTGTTAGTCTGTATCCGCAAAAAGAACAGGAATATTGTGGCACCTTAGAGACTAACACATTTATTTGAGCATAAGCTTTCGTGGGCTACAGCCGACTTCATCGGATGCATGTAGTGGAAAATACAGTAGGAAGGTGTGTATATATTTGCAGAGAACATGAAACAATGGGTGTTACTATACACACTATAAGGAGAGGGATCAGTTAAGGTGAGCTTTTATCAGCAGGAGAGAAAAAAAACTGTTTGTAGTGGCCGCTCGATTACAGACCTAAAAGTCGCAATATTACAACAAAAAAATTTCAAAAACAGACTCCAACGAGAGACTGCTGAATTGGAATTAATTTGCAAATTGGACACCTTTAAATTAGGCTTGAACAAAGACTGGGAGTGGATGGGCCATTACACAAAGTAAAACTATTTCCCCATGCTTATTTCCCCCCCACACCCTTACAGTTCCTCATATCTCCTTGTCAATTGCTGGAAATGGGCCATTTTCATTACCACTACAAACAGTTTTTTTTCTCTCCTGCTGATAAAAGCTCACCTTAACTGATCACTCTCCTTATAGTGTGTATAGTAACACCCATTGTTTCATGTTCTCCGTGTATATATATATCTTCCTACTGTATTTTCCACTACATGCATCCGATGAAGTAGGCTGTAGCCCACGAAAGCTTATGCTCAAATAAATTTGTTAGTCTCTAAGGTGCCACAAGTACTCCTGTTCTTTTAATAAAAGTTGATGTTATAAAATCACCAACATATAATATACAGCTAAACAAACTAATTTAATTGTGTTCCACAAAATAGACATGAAGCAGAGACCCATTTGTTTGGATGAAAGCTTGATCCTTAATTCAATAAAATGAACCCCTCAGCCTTTTCTTTTCATCCTGTTTTATACACTTATTTTGTTAATCCATTTGAACTACCATTTTTCTGGCTTCCTTTAGTAAAAATCACAGAAGATATTTCTTATCTTTTCATTCCATATATTCAATATTTATAAATTTGTGCTCATTTTTAGATAGCTATGGAATCTTGTGTGCCCTGTATTTTATGAGATTTTTAAAAGATTGTATTTATAATTTGGGGCAGAATATTTCATTTGGAGAAAATAACCTTCCTCCTTATTTTGTGGCAAGTTGATTTCCAGAAACAATGTGTTAGTTCTAATTAGTAGTAGCTTCAGTGTTTATATTGGGAAAGTGATTTAATTTCATTACAAAAAAATAAATTCCAATACAGAGAAGTATGAGCACAGTTCAAAAGGAAGACTAAAGTTTCTCTGACTTTACTGTATGTTGGAGAATATCCGTGGAATAGAACATTATCAAAGATAATTGTCTTCTGCTGCTAAATGAGTGTTCAGCTTTCCTTGGTGAAGAAGTTACTGATGCTAAAACAAGGCCAGAATTTTCACACTTGGGTGGCAGTGCATCCATTGAACAGCAAAGACTACCGTGAGCACGTCACACCTCTGCACTCCACATTGGCTTCCCATAGACTATTCAGTCAAATTCAAGATTTCTATGTTTCTCTTCATGGCACAAAATGATCTGGGCCCAGGATACCTCAAAGATCACCTGAAGCTCCAGATGAAGACTATGGTGAACAGCTCTGTTCCTCGAACACAGTGGAGCTATCCACCACAAAGGCAAAGCTCATCTGTGCAGAAGATAGATCTTTCTTGGGGATCTGGTCAGGCTCTGGAATGAGCTCCACACATTTTTGTGTAAAAGCTGGAGTGAATCTTACTGCTCTCAGCAGGTGACTCAGGTATATGGAAAATAGATCCTGTCAAACTAACTTGATATCTTTTTTTGATGCGATTACAAGTTTGGTTGATAAAGGCAGTAGTGTTGATGAAATGTACTTCGACTTGGTACCACACAACATTTTGATTAAAAAAAAACTAGAATGATATAAAATTAACACGGCACATTGTTAAATGGATTAAAAACTGGTAAACTGATAGGTCTCAAAATGCAATTGTAAACTTGGAATCATCATTGAGCAAGTGTGTTTCTAGTGGGGGCCTCCAGAAATTGGCTCTTGGCCCTATGCTGTTTAACATTTTTCCCATGATCTGGAAGAAATATAGAATCATAACAGATAAAGTTTACAGATGACACAAAAATTGCAGGTATGGTAAATAATGAGGAGGACAGGTCACTGACAGGGAGCAACCTGGATTGCATGGTAAGCTGGGAACAAGCAAACAGTGTGTTTTAGTACAGCTAAATGTAAAGGTATACCTCTAAGAACAAAGAATACAGGCCATACTTACAGGATGGGGGACTCTATCCTGGGAAACAGTGACTCTGAAAAAGATTTGGGGGTCATGGTAGATAATCAGCTGAACGTGAGCTGTCAGTGTGTCTCCATGGCCAAAATGGCTAATGTGTTCTTTGGATGCATAATCAGAGGAATTTTGAGTGTGAGCAGAGAGGTTATTTTATCTCTGTATTTGGCACTAGTGTGATCACGGCTGGAATATTGTGTCCGGTTCTGGTGCCCACAATTCAAGAAGGATGTTGATAAATTGGAGAGGGTTCAGAGACGAGCCACGAGAATTATTAAAGGATTAGAAAACCTGCCTAATAGTGATAGACTCCAGGAGCTCCATCTGTTTCACTTAACAAAGAGAAGACTCTGGGGTGATTATCAGAGTTTATAAGTATCTATGCGGGGAACAAATATTTGCTAATGGGCTCTTCAGTCTATCAGAGAACAGTATAATGCGATCCAGTGTCTGGAATTTGAAGGTAGACAAATTCAGACAGGAAATAAGGGTAACAGTAAGTGTAATTAACCATTGGAACCATTGTGGTGGATTATCATTAACTGGCAATTTTAAAATCAAGATTGGATGTTTTTCAAAAGATCTGCTCTAGGAATTATTTTGAGGAAGTTCTGTGGCCTGAGTTATGTATAAAGTCTAACTAGGATGATCACTCTGGTCCCTTCTGGCCTTGGAATCTATGACCCCATGTAATATTACGTCCTTATGACCAAGATGGAGTGCACTTTGCTGGCATCTCCAGCCAAGGAGACACACATGCATGAGTGCAACAGGGAAACTCACTTTTACCCCAGAAGCACCTGTTCCAAACCCCCTGGAATAAACACGTCGGATCAGTACAATGAATATAGGAAAGGGAAATATGAACAGGGAAAGAAGATGGGGGAGCAATAAAACAAGGTTACATCCAACACGAGGACCCACGTGACCGGTGGTACCACAAAATATAAGGGTAGATGCCAAGCAATGCGTCCAGACCCAGAGTTCAGGATTGCTGGGCAGAGTTCCAGTCTGGCAGTGAGTCTTGGGTGCTCCTGGTCATCTTCAGCGCCAGTAAACTTTCCACAACAAACCCCTCCGGTGCCCTTTTCTGCCGCTCTCTGCAAACCTACACAGAGCGACAACCTCTTCACTCAACTGGCTACAACCTCCCTCCATATTCCCAATGCAAAGTCACAAGCCTCAATACTCACGGTTCCATATAGCTCTGGGTGGCAGTGATACTGGATCTGGCTCCACTTTGTCCTTCTCTGGTGATTCCTCCCTGGCCCAGTGCTTTTTCCTGGCTCCTGTCCTGGGATATCCCTGGTTGGCCGCTCTGTCCCTCCCCGGCTTTGGGCTAGTTCTTTACTACTTCCCTGTGTGAGGGCCTGCTCCCTGTAGGCCCTCTTGTCTGGAACTTCAGACACACACATCCTGTCAACTCTCCCTCTTTATATTCCCTTCCCCCTGGCAAAAACAGCACTTCCCCTGCCTCAGGACAAGGTTTTAAAGGGGCCATGCTCTCTAAATCCCAAGGGAGTTACACAGCCTATGAAATAAAACTTTTCCTTCTCCATAAATTAAGACGACAGATATTCATCAAACAGCCACAC